ACAGCGAGATCCTCTACGAAAGACTCTCCAGTCGATCTAGGATTATCGTTTCGCTTAACCTGAGCGATCGATTGTTTCTCTTCTAGATGTTCCCCTCTAGGGATACATCTTTGTCCCAGTCCACCCGACTTATTCGAGTGGTGGACCTTCGGCGCAGCCTGTGTTTCCCTCACAGCCGCCGGAACTTGGCTCCGAAGTGTAACCGTTTGGTACACTAAGGTTTTGTGCAGTCGTACTAACGACCGTACCACAAGTGAGGCCATCGCACTCACTCGTAGTACATCCACACGCTTGTGGACGCTCCAAAACGTTCATCAGATGGCCATCTGATGAACAAGCGGCAGGCATCGTTACTGTCCGATGTTGCCAGTTTACCCGTGGTTCGTACCTTCTGAGCCACGGTATTCCAAGGATGACATCAAATTTGTCATCCAAATCCAATACGATAAAGTCATCGTCGTATTGGGTATCTTCTAGCGTATAGTGAATCTTCACTATACGCTTCATGACGGTTACGGATGCGCCTGTCGCAAGACGTACCGTCATCCTCGTAGGAGGTGTGTCACATTCACTGAATTTAAAGTGACCATCTTCTAGCGATTGGCGTCGCACAAAATTGTTGGACGCCCCACAATCGACTAGAGCTCGAAGGGACAACTTATTTGTCACTTCGAGTTTCAAGGTAATGAGTGAGACCTCATTACCTAGAGCAGCAACGCACAATGTCTGTGTGTTGGGAGCAACCTTCATCAAGAGGCCTACAAATTCTCTTGACGTTGCTGGATCAGTAGGGTGCTCCGCACCTACTGATCCTGTCCGTTTTTTGACGGTCCATCCCGTTGTTGCGTCTTTGCACCAACTGCGGACCCTCGTCCCTGCCCCTTTCTCATGGGTGGACGGTCACTACGCCCAGTGTCGCGAGACACTGGACGAGGGGCACTACACTCGTAAGCGTAGTGTCCTGTCTTCTGACATCTGTTGCATCTCTGCAACTTCTTGTAGCCTGTAGAGCGAACCTTCTCGCTCTCTACATAACAGAGTTCCATCGGCTCTGGACCTCCGTTGTCATATCGTCTCGGTTGACGATATGATGTCGAGCTGGCGCGAGCCTGTCTCAGACTGAAGTCTTCCTGCTCCGCAATGGAAATGGCTTGTTCTAGTGAATCTAGTTCAAGCCGGAACAGGTGAGTCTTGACGGGACCATCCGCAAGACCCTGCATGAACACCGAAACCAACGTGTGTTCATCCACTGGATTGGAACTTATACAACTCGTGAGATGTCGTATATGTTGAGCGTAAGCGTGCACATCACGCTTACCCTGCTTGAGCTTCAAGAGTTCGGTTCGAGCTCTGAACTCAGCTCTAGGCGGTTCAAACGTTTGTCTGAGCCGCGACTTGAAGACTTCCAACGACCCAAACGCATATGGGTCGTGCAGCTTGAGCCCCAGTGCCCAAGTCTTGGCACGTCCTGCCAGATTTGATTGGGCAAATGCAACTTGCATATCCCCGTCGTCGATGCGACGCGCCCTTATGGCGTCATCCAATTCGACGAACCATCTCAAGAGGGAGTCTTCTTCGACCCCTCTATACTTTGAGATGTCAATCTTCAAAGTCTCGGGTCGACGCGAGTGCATCGACCCGCCAGCAGCAGCTTGCTGCTGTCTCAACAGTTCAAACTGTTGAGCACCTTGTTCTCTCAACAACTCTGCTTGTTGAGAACCTTGTTGGTGAAGCAAGGCTACTTTCTCGCGTTCTGCGTCAAGTTCATTTTGAATGAACTTGGCGATAGTAGCATGTTGGGCATCTCTATTGAGAGCCTCTAGCATGACGCTAACAGCATGGATGCCCATGGTCGAACCCATTCGTTCAACCGCATCCCATTCGACATCGCTCAAATGGGAGTAGCCGTCACGCGTAGCGTGAAAGCTTTGGTCATCTTCATCATCCAACATATTCATGTTGGATGTGAACGCGGTCCTTGGACGGACTACGAAGTGCTACCAGGTGTAACGGGGCACCCTGAAGCTTGTACTGGTGACAGTACAAGCTACTTATTCTGATAACAGAATAAGGCGGTGCCTCGTAACTTCACGTACACTCGTACGTGCAGAGGAAGACGGTAAGAAGAAGCGAGTACTTGGTTAAAGTAAAAAGTAGAACTGTATTTATAATAGTTAATGTCTGCAATAAATCCCTATTTATCTTCATCTAACTATGTCTAAATACAAATGTGTAAATCAGTTATCTGCTCACCACTCATTGCGTGCGTCTGTCGTGGCGCGTCTTCGTTGGTTGATATAATGGCCTATATCAACCAATTAGGAACTACTTGGAAGTGCTACAGAATATTTGTCCTTATGACAATATTCTGAGAATATAACTCTTATAGTTATATTCTATTAACAATTTCTTATAAATTGTTATGTAACGATTCACCCCGTTACAGGCACCCTCGCGCAGACCACTATTATAAGTAAGTGGGACTATTTGCTCCGTCTGATTAACGACGTCGAGCTGTTAAATCCACTGGTGAAGGTTAGCGACCTGTTCGGTAACTTTGAGACTTTAAGTGAGACTTGGCACTTGTCAGGTCTTGCTGGAAAAGTGACAGAACTGATCTGGAACGCACACCTTAGTGTTCGAACTGAAGAGGTGCTTGTTATCGATGACTCCAGTGTTGCTGCCTTGTCGGACGGATACTCGGACCAGCTGGTTGCCCAGCCCATCCGGCTGGTGACTCCTGCCGGGACGTTGTTACTCTGCAAGTTCCTGCCGATTTCGATCCAAGCGATGCCGCTGCTGTCGATATAATCGCGGCAAGGCCGGAAGCAGGTAAACATATTGGACAACACGATGAATTTGTCGGGCGTCACCGTCTTCACCAATTCTTCGGGGCCTGCATTGTTCCGGATACACCACCGCAAAAGGAGCAGTTGCGAATTGGTTTTGAACGCACATTCGGCCTTTGTTTTCCCTCTCGTTTCAAGATCTTCAGATGCGCACTGTGCGTAAATCGATTGTCCAGTTAATCAATGAGTACATCATTTGGTCTCACCCTGTGGTCAAGAACTCTTGGAAGACGACCAACGCTGGTCAACTGAGTAACACGGGTTCACCAGCACAGCTGCTGACCTTCGGTCCCACAGTCAATTCGGCTACGTCTGTCTTCCCCGTCACGAACCCTTTTGACTATGCTCTTGCTGTCTTGGCGAAGCCCTCGCCTGTCATACTTAAGCGACCCAAGACCTGGCTGATAACAGCAACACTAAAGGGTGGGTGACAGAGGTCAAGTGTGAATCACAGCTAGCCGGTGTGGCTCAGCTTTGCTTTTTGATGATGCGTGGCGATATGCGGCACGTCACATGAAAGAAGCTTGAACGACCATATACTGGCTCCCTTGCTGGTGCTCATAAAGCACGGACGATAGGTACGTCTAGGTGATCGTTTGACATGTCATGTTATCAAACACAATTGACACAACGAAGTGGCAAGAGCTGGTGGTATAACTTCTATCAACACAAGGTTTAAACGTTGCATGAAGCATTTTGTCACACATGGAACGTGAAATAATGGAAAGCCTTTGATCGTTCCAAACTTTTGCCCGAAAATGGATAGGGAGGGAAAGACTCCGTTCGCATGTGTGTTGCTCGGCTGCAAAGCACAATATTCTTGTCATTATGATGTTATTCGTCATAATGACAAGAATTTTGTGCATATACACGATTGACTCGATCACGACCTGTACATTGACGCTTTTCTGCCCCATACAAGTTGACCATGCACCGGAGACGTAGTGCACAAATTGAAACTCCATAGCGTCTATAACGCTCGAGCCACAAATCACAACATTATTTGGAATATTAGGTTCGTGTCACAGGCACGACTGCGACAACACCGTGACAATCTGTCGCTCGTCGCTCTATCGTAATGGAACGCAACGTTAACGCAAGCATGTGGAAAATGCCACAACCGAACCGATATCTATCTTCGATTGACCGTAATTCTTGCCAATCTCCTTCTGCTTTACCGACGTGTCGTTGAAGTTTCTCTAGTAAATACAGTCCGGAATATAGGTATGGCATGTCGTGGCGCAGCTGCATGAGTGCATGATCGCGGGTAAGTGGGTTGGACAGTCATGTAGTATATGGAGCACGGAAAGCGAGACCCTAAAGATGCCACGATGTATACGCATAGGAAGACTAGCGTGGTCTCGTAACGAGTGTCATATATGCTGATCTTCTGTCTTGTCCTTTAAGCCAGCATATGCTGTCGCCATATATTCACATGGTGCGTGTGATGTATCGTCCCTTCTGATAGAAGCTCTGCTGTTCAAACGATCGTGCCATGGTGCTATTTACGTGATGATGGTTTTACTACTCTATGCAGAATTTATGTTTGGAGCCCTGCCGCAATCAGACTGGGCATGCGACATGTAGTAGTCTTGTGGTCTTTTGGAGATGTCCTGCTTGCCAGTTTTGCAATTTGACAACCGACTATCCCTGAACGTGTGGTGCCAAGCATCTGCTCGACCTGAAGGATTATGATTTGCAACGTAAATAGCGCGTATCTACGCTGCTGATAAAAATGTCGCGAGGCCTGGGTTCAATTCGTAGATTTTGAAACCTGTTCAGGTCATCGATTCAGCTCCTCCTCATCGGTGATAATGCTGTCAATCCGCGCAAGTGCCACGGCTTATGTCCAAGACAACGATGGTGAATTCATTTGGATTTTCTACTTAATTATTACTATCCCCTCTTATCCTACTATTATCCAGTACTTTATTTTGTGTGCGGTGTGTCGATGAGCCCGATCAAGTTGACCGTCAACATGGAAAAGACTCGGAACCAATCCCATCTGACTCTATTGCTCCTCAGATTTGATCACGACTTTTACACTCGTACACCGTTCGATCACGCGGTCGACGCGTTGTCGCTCAGCATTTCATTATTCTCCTTTGACGCACAATCGCTCCTTCACTCGGCATCACCAGCCTATTCACAATGCGGGCCCGAACTCTGCTTGCAATTTTTGCCTTCCTCTCAACAGCCACAGTATGTGCAATTCGTCCATTGGACCGACAGCACAGTCACCACGAACGAAAGCTGGTTCCGGCGCTATGGGGTTTCGGCCCTACGTCGTGCAAGTGCAAGTCCACCCCTCGTCCATGTCTCTTCATCCACGGAGAGGGCAGCGAGGTCGAAGAGGAAGAGCTGCAACATGGGTGTAAGTTGTTTGGCGACATGGATGGCCACGCGCCTTGCTGCTCGTCCATCAAGTACACCTCTTTGGACACGGTCAACTCTGGCTGGACGAACGAGACGCTGCAGGAAAAAGTGTGCAGTCACGCACTGTCGATGAGCGAGTCGAGCAGTGTGGCAAAAGGCACCATCAAGGACACGATTCTCGTGACCCACTCGATGGGAGCCCTGATTGTGGCAGGGGCCGTGGCCAATGGCAAGTGCACCATTGACAGTAGCACCACGTGGGTCAGTATGAGTGCACCGATGAATGGCACCATGGCATCGAACTATGCACAGGACCGATGCTCGGACGACGACATGCAGGCTTTCAATAGGGTTCTCACGCTTATTGGCAGCTGCCCCACTGGCAAGGCAACGAAGTCTATCGCGTACATGGGCGGCAAATACAGCTCCCTAGAGCTTAACAAAGCGTTTGTGGCCGCCCAGGAGGTCTACCGTGACCACGTGTCAGCCGTCATGTGCAGCATTGATAATATTGGTATCACCTCTCCATCCCTGCTGCAGTATGTATTTGCAGGCCGTACGATCGATCATGGTACCGACGAACATGATGGCGTTGTGACGTACGAAAGCTGCCGAGGTGGTCTGCCGGCGTCTAAGTTTAGTAACCGTCCCGAAAGCAAGTTTTACGCGTCCAAATGCAACCACGATGATACTGCATTTCTTAACGGCGACGGCTTCTTTGATGATGCGCTGAAACCGGTGCAGTGGTTTGAATGCCTGCTCTAAGTTACTTGCGACGAACAAGGGTGACGACGGCACATCAATCCAGTCGACCGTGCCCAAAGGAAGGGACGACGGCTGGACGGGTTTGATCGCAAGGTGTTCATCCGAAAGACGTCCGACAATTCGCAAATGGCTACGTGTCTAACGATCGCTAGTCGTTCATGTTCAGGCGAGTGTTTGGAATACACATCCTTTCGATTAAAAGTCCAGAGTGGGGAGTAGATGACTCAATGCTGCTATTCTGTTCGATACCATCATTCAAAGCTACGAGCCACATAACGTACGTTGTGCTTTTACTATCCTGCTCTCAGCCTGTGCTTTAGCACAGAGTTTTCGGCCATGCTGCTATGAAATTCCCTCTCGTCCTTTCCTTGGGTGCTGCACAAGTTTATCACTCACGTGAGATGTTTGAAATACGAAGCTTCATCTTTGGTCATTCAGTGTCATCAACACGAGAGGCTTAAGGTAAACTACAAATACAGTGGCTCTGCCTGAATTTGTGATGGGTCTCGACCTCATTACACTAGCGAGATGCTCAAGGAGTCCCGGCCCACTCAAGTATCGCTTATCCTTCAGGTGCGTTGGCGGGACAGATACCCTTTGATTGACAGATTAGCTACTTGACTAATTAATGCCCAGCGTCCTGCAATCGCATCATCCTACGCGGGCTCTATCCGGGTGTCTCCTGGTCCCTGTGATAGCACCGAACTACTGGACCGCTGAGGTCAAAACATGTCTACTTCGAGCACTCTATCAGGGCTCACTCGATACGTCATTTCACTCGACTGCACCTGACATCGAGCTGACACCAAACTAGGTAAAGCTTGCTCATCAGTTGAGTTGGCCTGCTTAAAGGCGCAAAATGTCAGTCGATGTCTTCGGAGAAGACTGAGTTGTGAGTCACAACTGAGGGAAGGGCTTGACGGCAGAAACTGACAGACTAGCTAGCAGCTACTACAGAAACAGCTAACGTCTCTCCTTCCTGGTGTTTTATGCACGTTGGTTGACCAAAGATGGTCAATATTAAGGCAGCTTCTAAGGATCGATTACAGGCATTTTAGAATAACTAAAATAAGATTTACTCAAGCCAAAAGGAATAGGAAAACAACGATACAAAAGGCTTGATTCGCAATGCCTCATCCTCAAATGCATCGACACGACAGTGGCACACCCACAGGCTTTCGGGGGGCAATAGCAACGCGTCTTCTCTCTTCAATAAACCTGCCGGATCAAGACAACCACGTAGGCCGTAAAAATAGCACTGTAGTCTGCATCAGTGGCGCAGGTACTTGGAGTAAATTCGAACGTGTCTATCGGTGCAGATGAAAATTGCGATTGTAACGGGGTCACACGCCGTAATTGAACCGGTGATGTTGTGTGTCCTCGACAATTAAAGATCGGTGGATCTGAGTGTACAATCTTGGTACCACGTACTTACGGTAATATCGCACCTTATCGGGTAAGGATAAGAGATCAGACATATGCCATAGGATCGCAATGTAGAAGTCAGTCAGACAAGGTTTTATGGATTTATTACCGTGCCAAGAGATTAAATAAAGTTCGGTCCCCCTTTTGAATCGTTGGACGCTAGTGCCTAGTCAAGGCATAGCGTAGTGTAAGAGTGTTAGCCTTGTGAAGGCGCTTGCTCTTCTTCAACTAGTAGTCTCTAGTTAGTGTGTGATTCTGTGAATCGCAATCCCTTTGTGTAACGGGGTGAATCGTTACATAACAATTTATAAGAAATTGTTAATAGAATATAACTATAAGAGTTATATTCTCAGAATATTGTCATAAGGACAATATTCTGTAGCACTTCCAAGTAGTTCCTAATTGGTTGATATAGGCCATTATATCAACCAACGAAGACGCGCCACGACAGACGCACGCAATGAGTGGTGAGCAGATAACTGATTTACACATTTGTATTTAGACATAGTTAGATGAAGATAAATAGTGATTTATTGCAGACATTAACTATTATAAATACAGTTCTACTTTTTACTCTAACCGAGTACTCGCTTCTTCTTACCGTCTTCCTCTGCACGTACGAGTGTACGTGAAGTTACGAGGCACCGCCTTATTCTGTTATCAGAATAAGTAGCTTGTACTGTCACCAGTACAAGCTTCAGGGTGCCCCGTTACACCTGGTAGCACTTCGTAGTCCGTCCAAGGACCGCGTTCACATCCAACATGAATATGTTGGATGATGAAGATGACCAAAGCTTTCACGCTACGCGTGACGGCTACTCCCATTTGAGCGATGTCGAATGGGATGCGGTTGAACGAATGGGTTCGACCATGGGCATCCATGCTGTTAGCGTCATGCTAGAGGCTCTCAATAGAGATGCCCAACATGCTACTATCGCCAAGTTCATTCAAAATGAACTTGACGCAGAACGCGAGAAAGTAGCCTTGCTTCACCAACAAGGTTCTCAACAAGCAGAGTTGTTGAGAGAACAAGGTGCTCAACAGTTTGAACTGTTGAGACAGCAGCAGGCTGCTGCTGGCGGGTCGATGCACTCGCGTCGGCCCGAGACTTTGAAGATTGACATCTCAAAGTATAGGGGGGTCGAAGAAGACTCCCTCTTGAGATGGTTCGTCGAATTGGATGACGCCATAAGGGCGCGTCGCATCGACGACGGGGATATGCAAGTTGCATTTGCCCAGTCAAATCTGGCAGGACGTGCCAAGACTTGGGCACTGGGGCTCAAGCTGCACGACCCATATGCGTTTGGGTCGTTGGAAGTTCTTCAAGTCGCGGCTCAGACAAACGTTTGAACTGCCTAGAGCTGAGTTCAGAGCTCGAACCGAACTCTTGAAGCTCAAGCAGGGTAAGCGTGATGTGCACGCTTACGCTCAACATATACGACATCTCACGAGTTGTATAAGTTCCAATCCGGTGGATGAACACACGTTGGTTTCGGTGTTCATGCAGGGTCTTGCGGATGGTCCCGTCAAGACTCACCTGTTCCGGCTTGAACTAGATTCACTAGAACAAGCCATTTCCATTGCGGAGCAGGAAGACTTCAGTCTGAGACAGGCTCGCGCCAGCTCGACATCATATCGTCAACCGAGACGATATGACAACGGAGGTCCAGAGCCGATGGAACTCTGTTATGTAGAGAGCGAGAAGGTTCGCTCTACAGGCTACAAGAAGTTGCAGAGATGCAACAGATGTCAGAAGACAGGACACTACGCTTACGAGTGTAGTGCCCCTCGTCCAGTGTCTCGCGACACTGGGCGTAGTGACCGTCCACCCATGAGAAAGGGGCAGGGACGAGGGTCCGCAGTTGGTGCAAAGACGCAACAACGGGATGGACCGTCAAAAAACGGACAGGGATCAGTAGGTGCGGAGCACCCTACTGATCCAGCAACGTCAAGAGAATTTGTAGGCCTCTTGATGAAGGTTGCTCCCAACACACAGACATTGTGCGTTGCTGCTCTAGGTAATGAGATCTCACTCATTACCTTGAAACTCGAAGTGACGAATAAGTTGTCCCTTCGAGCTCTAGTCGATTGTGGGGCGTCCAACAATTTTGTGCGACGCCAATCGCTAGAAGATGGTCACTTTAAATTCAGTGAATGTGACACACCTCCTACGAGGATGACGGTACGTCTTGCGACAGGCGCATCCGTAACCGATCATGAAGCGTATAGTGAAGATTCACTATACGCTAGAAGATACCCAATACGACGATGACTTTATCGTATTGGATTTGGATGACAAATTTGATGTCATCCTTGGAATACCGTGGCTCAGAAGGTACGAACCACGGGTAAACTGGCAACATCGGACAGTAACGATGCCTGCCGCTTGTTCATCAGATGGCCATCTGATGAACGTTTTGGAGCGTCCACAAGCGTGTGGATGTACTACGAGTGAGTGCGATGGCCTCACTTGTGGTACGGTCGTTAGTACGACTGCACAAAACCTTAGTGTACCAAACGGTTACACTTCGGAGCAAAGTTCCGGCGGCTGTGAGGAAACACAGGTTGCGCCGAAGGTCCACCACTCGAATAAGTCGGGTGGACTGGGACAAAGATGTATCCCTAGAGGGGAACATCTAGAAGAGAAACAATCGATCGCTCAGGTTAAGCGAAACGATAATCCTAGATCGACTGGAGAGTCTTTCGTAGAGGATCTCGCTGTGGTTGCGCAACCCCAGCTAGAGGAAGTAAAGGGAATAAGTCCCAAGATTACAAATACGGCGGAAATAAGTTCCCCGAAACCCGCGGGAATAAGTCCCCGGGAAGACGAAGGAATAAGTCCTTCGAAGCCTGAGGGAATAAGTCCCCAGGAAATGACAGAGACATTGAATGTCATAGTCAATAACGGATCATGTGTAGGCGCTTATACACTTGATCTGATTGCGCCTCCGAAGTTAACTTCGGAGATCACTCAGTTGCCAACGCTCGAACATAAAAGGTTCTTGCGTGATCTGCGTAGTGGCAAAGTCAAGCAGATCTGCATACTCGTCGCTGACGACGAGTATGTAACCGACATAAGGTCAGCAACAGTGTTTACTGAGAACGAGAGAGTTCTCAGTAGTTCATCTATGGACGAGAGTGTCCTAGATGAAAAGACACGAATTGAGCGATATGAGTCCCAATCATGGGAATCGCTCAAGGAAAATCCTCTCTATGAAGATTTGGTTGAATTCAAGGATGTATTCCCTGAAACTGTTCCGTGCGAATTACCGAAGGATAAAGGTATTCGACACGAAGTCGAGCTTAAACCAGGCTCGAAGTACTGTGTCATGAAGCAGTGGCCACTGCCTCGTGAACAAGTACTTGCGATCGACAAGTTCTTTGCCGATCGTTTAGCAGCGGGCCATGTGAGGGAATCAACTTCCCCACATAGCTCTCCGACCTTCTGTGTGCGAAAAGCAACAGGAGGGTGGCGGATAGTGCACGCGTTCAACAAATTGAACGCTGCAACGGTACCGGCTCAGACGCCGATACCGAGGAAGGACGTAATCATTGATGGTATGTCAAAGAGTACCATCTTTTCGTCCATGGATTTGATGGATGGCTTCTATCAAATCCTAATGCGGGAACGGGATATACCCTATACCGCAGTTAGCACGCCTAGCGGCATGCTCTGGGAATGGCTAGTAATGCCACAAGGGCTCAGTAATGCCCCTGCCACGTTCAACAGGTGTGTATCACATCTGTTGAGGCCAGTACGAGAATTCGCGCCGAGTTATTTCGATGACGTATTCATCCATAGTCGAGCTATGGATGGAAAGTCGGACGTTGAGGTTCACAAGTACCACGTCCGACAAGTTCTTACAATCATGCGAAAGCATCAATTGTATGTAAACCTCAAGAAGTGTATATTTGCAGCAAGCGAAATACCACTTCTTGGGTGCATCGTTGGTAAGAACGGTGTACGTCCTGATCCCGAAAAGATCAAGGCGATCACCGACTGGCCCGTGCCGGTCGATGTCAAAGGTCTTCGAAAATTCCTTAGCTAGCGGCGTATTTGCATAAGTATTCACGCAATTACGCCGAGATGACTGTACACCTCTCTCGTTTGTTGAAAAAGAACGAGAGGTGGTTATGGAACGCTGAATGTCAACGCTCCTTTGAGGGTATCAAGCAGAGCTTGATACAATCCCCAGTCCTAGCAATAGCCGATCAGGACAGGCCATTTCATGTGGTCTGTGATGCCAGCGATTTCGCAATCGGCTGTGCATTAATGCAGTACGACCTTGAAGGCGTTGAACGCGTCGTTCTGCTATCAGTCGCGTCAGCTGCAACCAGCTGAGCGGAACTATCCAGTGCATGACAAGGAACTCCTTGCCATGAAGTATGCACTCGCGAAGTTCAGAGTCTATCTATTAGGAGATAGACCCTTCGTTGTTTACACTGACCATGCGTCCTTACGCACGGCAGTGAACAGCCCGCACCTTTCACAACGAATGGCGCGGTGGTTGTCATTCTTTGCAGAATACAACTTTACGGTCGAGTACAAACCAGGACGACTTAATGTCGTCGCTGATGCACTCTCACGTCGTCCCGACTTTGAAACAGTCGCGAAACCCAACAGTGAGACAGTCACTGTTGCGGTTATGACGTCCTCAGTTCCATCTACAACGTTGTATGATGATGTGAGGCGGGCATACGCCCAAGATGGTGAGATAGTGAAGTTGTTGTCACATCTCTCCCAACCATCTCGAGAATCGTTGAAACGATTGTCGTTCGCGTATCGATCTGCATCAGATCGATACACTACTCGTAACGGTTTACTGTACTATACAGCCGTTTCTGGTGACACACCACGTGTTGTCATTCCAGATGATACTGATCTGCGTTTGCGGATCATGTTCGAGTATCACGATGCTCCTATAGGAGGACATCGTGGCCGAGAGAAAACATATCTCACGGTAAGTCGAGACTTTTACTGGCCCCGCCAGTATCAGTTTGTGCGAAAGTATGTTCGCGCATGCGAAGTCCGCCAACGAGTGAAGTCAAGTCCTTCACTGCGTGCACCTTTACAGCCTCTACCGGTTCCGGCTGAGTGCTGGGAATCCATCTCAACGGATTTCGTCTTCGGGTTACCCAAAGACGCACGCGGGAATACGGGTATTCTCGTATTTGTTGACAGATTCAGCAAAATGGTACACCTTGTGGCTGTACCAGAGACAATCACGGCAAGTGGCTGTGCTTGTGTCTTTATTGACACCATCTTCCGACTTCATGGGTTGCCCCGTGAACTCGTATCAGACAGAGATCCACGATTCACTGCTGATTTCTGGCGTTCCGTGTTCAAATCACTCGGAACGCGCTTGAAGATGTCAACATCTGATCATCCAGAGTCAGATGGTCAGACGGAACGTGCCAATCGTGTCCTTGAAGAGATACTTCGAGGATACGTACACTCCTTTAAGAGTTGGAGTGAGTTTTTGCCGATGGTAGAGTTTGCCATCAACAACTCGGTGCATGCGTCCACGACACATACACCGTTTTACGTGAATGGCTTGCGCCATCCGCGTGTACCCACCTTTACTAGAGTGTAACTCTGGTTTAAGGGGGGAGGGACTCGCGCGAGCAAAAACCGATTTGGTTCACGCTCATCACGCTCTGACGAAGAAGTCATTGCGTTTGATGCCGATATCGATAACATCGATATCGAAGAAGATGATGCCAGTGAGAGTGCGGAAGCCCTCACTGAAGACAATGATGCCAGTGAGAGTGCGGAAGCCCTCACTGAAGAAAAGGTTGTTGTTGCTGCAGTGCGCTCACAGCACACTGAAGCTAACGAGTCATCAGATGAGTTCATACTGGCTCGTGAAACGGTAGTCCGTTTTGTGCAAGACTCCATCGCCGAAGCGGTGGATAAGCAAAAGCAAAACGCTGACAAGAATGGAAGGGCAAACACTCTTTTATTTAATAAAGGTGACTTAGTCCTACTGTCTACGGTTAATCTACCAAAACATGTAGTGACTAACTTGGGTAGCAGTAAACTACTACCCAAGTACATTGGCCCATTTCGTGTATTGCACCGCCTAGGCAATGCATACACGATCGAGTTACCACGTAAGATGCGAACGCATCCCACGTTTTACGTTGGTCGGCTTAAGCCGTACCATCAGTACGCTGCTTCTTCCGATGAAGAACGCCCTTGCGCTCAAGCATCTCGCAGAGAGCCTTGTGCTCCTGATGGTGGGCATCAACAAGGGTCTGAAGAGCAGTTATCTCAGCCTGAGACCGATCAACAATCCCACGAGCTACCCTTAGCTCGTCACGAAGAGATGTCAGAGATCTCTCGTTCTCAAGCTGAGCAAAGGCAAACTCAGCTCGATGCTTCGAGGCAGTGTCCACCATCTGGAGACGCCTATTCCGCTCATGCTCGAGATCGTCGCGTAACCCTTGCGTTACGCGATCAAAGAAGCTCTCGGGAACACACCGATCCACATGATCGTGTGGAGAGCGTCTTTCCTCCTCCTCCACCTCCATTAGAGGACTCTCGCGGTGGCCAGCGCTATCTAGTTGAGCAGCTGTTGAACCACCGCGACGTGAACGGACGTCGGACGAGTTACCTCGTCCGGTGGCGCGGCTATCCCCCCGTCCTGGGATTCTTGGGAGCCCCGCTCCCAACTGATGGTTGACGTACTGGGTCTGGTCGAGCAGTACGACGCGACACATCCTGTGCCGCAGAAGGACCGCCGGAGAAAGTCTTCCCGGCACGGTCGTAAAGGGATTTCAGGTTGTCAATCCCTTCGTACATCTCAGTAGAGACACGTACGCGCCACCACGGGCTGGTAAGGAGGTAAGCCTCCTTAGGTGCTCGTGCAGAGTTGTTCACACAACATGGGCACGAGTCTCCCCAAGAGAGGCAGGGTAATCCTTTCTCCCTTGACAGACGATGCAGCTTGTAGCGTGCACCTGTCGGGGTTCGCTTTTCAAACTTATCACGAGCTTTGATAAGTTTGTCGTTCCAAGCGTCACGACCTACATCCTCGAGATTATGGATGTAGGCGTTCCACGCCTGAAGTAGTGAGGGACCATCACGTTTGTGATTCCCACTGTACCATCGATGTCTGAAGAAAGCATCGATGAAGAACTTCATGTTCAGCGCGATAGTCTTTCGCGCTGGGGTCAAGGTGATGAATCCCTGACGAATCGAACAATCGTGCCTCGATAACGATCACTCGTCGTCGCCGACAAGTGATCCATGACAGATTTAGGAGGCATCCATGCCTTCTTTTCTGGAGCGAGACGCAACACATTGCGGTCCCGCTCTTCCTGCGACGTGCCGACAGAAGTACTGGCACCTCGCTGTGAAGTGGTGTCCATTGGAGAAACGACACCACTATTAGCGCCCGAGTCTCGCGACCTCGAGCGCCTTCGCTTGGCGATGGTTCATCTGACTCATCAGATGAACCAAAGATGCTGCGACGCAAAGCATCGTCCATGCCACGCTTGGCAGGCGGCTTGGATTCAATTGCCGTCGATACGGATCCGTCATCCGTATCAGGAGAGTACGAGACACCGAGCTCGTACTCTGTGAAGACACGAGTGTCTTCATGACCAGCGCCTGCATCACCAGGTGATACAGGCTGAGTCGATTCAGCAACCGATGGGACATCAGTTGCTGTAGTTTCTGCTTCGGCGTCCGCACAGAGACGTGCAGACGCGCTCTCGGCGGCCTTGCTCGCGCATCGCATGGGCTTGTTTACCATGCGATGAGATGTTGGAAAGTGGACGCGGACCAACAAGTGCAAAACCCCGTCCCAAATGATTTGGGACGAGTATCCATTTAGTCAATCAGTCACTAAAGTGACTGATGGTTAAGGGGGGGTGATGTAACGGGGTGAATCGTTACATAACAATTTATAAGAAATTGTTAATAGAATATAACTATAAGAGTTATATTCTCAGAATATTGTCATAAGGACAATATTCTGTAGCACTTCCAAGTAGTTCCTAATTGGTTGATATAGGCCATTATATCAACCAACGAAGACGCGCCACGACAGACGCACGCAATGAGTGGTGAGCAGATAACTGATTTACACATTTGTATTTAGACATAGTTAGATGAAGATAAATAGTGATTTATTGCAGACATTAACTATTATAAATACAGTTCTACTTTTTACTCTAACCGAGTACTCGCTTCTTCTTACCGTCTTCCTCTGCACGTACGAGTGTACGTGAAGTTACGAGGCACCGCCTTATTCTGTTATCAGAATAAGTAGCTTGTACTGTCACCAGTACAAGCTTCAGGGTGCCCCGTTACACTTTGGAACCGAAATTGTTAAGCTTGTACGCTTGAACTACTGTACGTCGTTGTTAGTGATTTGTAACTAAGAGACTCTTTGAGTCTAAAGCTTTCCTAAATGAGGAGTGCTAAGTAGCTCCGCTACATGAGCAAGCCTGCTCTATTAATCACACTTGTTTATTTCCGCTCCTTTTGCCAAAGAAAACTCTCTTTGTTGCAACATATGCGTACCCCAGCTCAACAAGATGCATTATGCAAAGTTTAGTTGTAGCGAGTAAGGGATTTTCGGCGGATTATCGTTTAAGACACGATAAATCACATCAGAAACCGTAGGTACGCTCAGATCGACCAACGATAGTTTTATTGATCCAGACAAGGATCAGACTAATGATGGACATTCTAATGATCTTATCAGCTCTATTTGCAATCTTTAATTTGCGCACGGATATTATAGCAAGCGTACAGAATCAATCGCATCTCGTGCCCGGTTTCGATATCAAAATACACGACGAACTTATCTGCGACGTGTTCTAACAAACGTTGCCGGGACGCTATAAGTAACTCGTTTTCTATACTGCTAATCTTTTGCATCTGCCTCCTATAAAACACGTTTATCTTCATGGTCTACTCCGGTGCGAAAATGCTTTTACAGACCGTTCTGAATCGTGTTGAGGAAGACGTTGTGTCTTTAATTCTAGTATGGTTTAAAATGAAGCCGGGACGAGACGTGAGAGTTGTTGCATTTGTAATTGCGGCCAACGCCCAGTGGTGTATACTTTATAGTCAAAGGGCTAACCTTAGAGGGTTGTCACCTTCAAGCGTTCACCTCCTAAATCCCAAATTTGATCTGTGAGAATCAAGGTCCCATTTTCTCTTCTTACTGTACAACCACTCACCTGCGTATTGTGATACAAACTGCACGACTTTCAACATGATTGTAGGACTTGTATCTTCCCTTTGAGGTAGAACCGCTTTAATGAGTTGCAGCTGTGTCACCTGCCTTTTCAGGATGGGTGGCGATTTTTGCCACATACCCGTTTACCGGGTGATGCTGCAGCGATAATTAGGAGTGGAAACGATTTGACAGCAAAATAAATGACAGTCCTAAACTTTGGTGACACCCTAATGGAGAACAAGCTGACGTCTGTATGGGTGCTTCCTTGTTACAGGGAACACTTTGTTCGGGGTGCCACGAAACTTCACGTACACAAGTACGTGCAGAGGAAGCCAATCTACTCAAACAGATAGTTTGTGTAAAGGGTAAAAAGAGAACTAATGTAGTTAAGCTATCAATATAACTTCTGTCTTTATTAAACTATATTGATCTACATTGTCGTATAACGACAACCTGCTCACCACTCATCACACGCGTCTGGCAGCGATTGGTGGTAACCTTGGTCGATGTGTCGTTATCAACCAATCTTTGAGCATCACATGAATCTCATCCTACAAGGGGATAATATTCCTTCAATATAATCTATCTCGGATAAAATTGGCAGGAGATTGTCACGCTAGACAATCTCTCTGTCGACACCGTTTGGTGTCCATATCATGCAACGGGCTACCCCGTTACAGGAGGGGTATAGTGCCACTCATAATGGTTGCAATAATTGAGTGTGTGAACAGTGCTCAGTTTTTATCGCTTAAGTATTGGTTGAAATTTCAAAGTACCTAGGGGACGTACTTTGACGCAACTAGAAGTTCAATTGGAGATTGAATTAGAGGTTCAATTAGAGGTTCAACAAATGTTTCAATCACCTTTTTAAACGTGCTTTAAGCCAGCGAGGAGAAGATGATGTAGCTTAGGCAGCAGCACGCCGATATCGTTACGGGCATAAGCGCTTAATCGATGCTCACAATCTACCAACATCACTCGCTTAACGTGTCACTCACTGGATATTTAACCGCTACGTTCAACAACACAATGTTGCGCTATCACACTCGATGGTACAAACCTGTCGCACAGACTTAGTTTCGCCGGTAAGTGACAGGACCTGTCGACTCTTTAATCGGCAGTCAGCTGCAACAACTGACAGAGACGAGACCCTCCGGGGAGCTAGGAACCTGGTCCCCTTTCCTCGGGCGGGAAGTCCCCCGTAGTGGGGCCAAGATAAAAAGGTAGGGAGGATTTCTCCTCGCTGCGTGCGCTACGGGAGGCAGCGCAGCGTGCGGCTCGAGAGAGAAGCGGTCTCCAGGATATCCTAGTACAGTAGCACCGAGCCAGATACTCTTCGTCCAGTGGTGCGTCTGGGCACATTTGAGCACGTTGTGAGCCCAAGCCGACCTGAAGAGCAAGAAATGGTCTACGAGGTGATGGCCAGGGATTACGTTAAGATGGCTCGCTGGGACGACCGCAGTGGTAACCACTCCTGATCAAGCGTTCTCTGTCCCCTGAATCAAATTGCTTCGAGTGCGAGAGCAGCCCCGCCACCCGGTAAAGTGCCCACTAGAATCTAACCCCGGACTTGGTCAACGGACGGTTTCCACGGGCCCTTTTGGGAGTGCCCCGCCGTGACACCCGACGTCTTGAGCCAGCAGAATGAGAAAGCGAGGAGCAGTAAGACTGTGTCACGGTAGATGACACGAAATGGTTACCACACAATTAGACATCTTATTAGTGACAAGTAGCTGCAATAGACAGTCTGAGCCTCGAAGTGACAGTAGCTGTCAACCACCACCGGTCACCGAACTGCAACCACTGGAGACCAGAACGAGCAGCTCTTTTTCCCCTATCATACCATCCGGTCCAGCAGAAGTCTCTTGAGCTGTTCACTTGACATTTGACCAGATACCTCTCACATCACTCAAATCGCGGCCGCGCGCAAAGTGCAACTCACACCATTGCGATGTGGCCGTCGTCGAGTTTCCTCCACCCAATTGCTTTGATCCTCGTCTTCGCTGCCTGCATCGTACTCCCCTCAGCTTTCGCGAGCAAAGGGATCAGTCATGGAGAATTGCTCACCAGCAGCAATACAACCACTTGGCCATCCCTGAAGCTTCACTTCACGCTGAAGCGCAGCTCCATGCAAGTGTTAGGTCAACCGACGTTCGACGTGTACGCTAATCCAGTCGTCTCGGACGATGGCGGCAGCGTCCTCTACGACGGATACGTGCACTTCACAGAAGGCTCGACACTGACAACGTACGTCCTGGTCGACGGCGTTCCATACGCTACCAGGTCAGTGATGGATGAGTCTGCAAACATCTTATCACGCTCGGTGCACTGCTTGCCAGGAAATACGGTGCCATCAGTTACGTCCCTGATAGCTGCGCTCAATGACATGCGCGTGGCTTCGACTGCCCGCTTAAACGGCGGCAAGATCAAGTGTGCATCAGGAAACCTCTTCAAGATGACGTTCCAAGGACTGGATCTAGCAGTTTGTGCCTCTGGGTCTTCAGGCTTTCGCGCTTACGGGAGCGACATCGACATTAAGGTCAAGTACTTGAAGCACCACGTGCAGATCCCGGTGCCAGAGCTGACTGCAGGAATGACGGGAAAGTGTGAACCTGTCACCAGTGCCACTGCAGTGACTCCTGCGGCAGTTGCTTTGCTCACTGGCCAACCAGTCCACAGCGAGGCAAGAAGTTCGGACAGCGGCGCGTCTGTCACTCTGTCTTCGACGACGTGCAAGTGCATGTCCAAGCCACGTCCGTGTCTCTTTATTCACGGCCTGGGAAACAGTAACGCCGAAGACGAACTGCAAGACTCGATGACGCAGTACTGGGGCAATTTGACAGAACACGCACCATGCTGCACGGAATTCAAGTACATGGTGTGGAATTCCATGGCGGTTGGCTGGAACGATGACATGCAGCAGCAAACGATGTGCGATCTCGCTTCCTCGGTGACGAAGTCTGGCTCTTCAACTGAAATTGCGGACACCATCGTCGTCACGCATTCCATGGGTGGACTTGCACTAGCAGGTGCCATCGCTAATGGAAAATGCACTCTCGCTAACAGTAGCTCGTGGGTCTCAATGAGTGCACCCATGTCGGGAAGCATGGGCTCCGACTATGCTGTTGAATTGTGCGCTGGTGAACACACGGTTATTATGAAGATGATTGGCAACATCACGAGTATATGCTCCATGCTCAGTGCTACGAAATCGCTTTCATACGAAGGCGGGGAGTTCGCTAGCGCGGAAATCAACGAAGCATACGAAGCTGCTCAGGAAGTGTACCGGAAGCATGTTTATGCAGCTATCTGCAGCGACTCGTACGCAGGGCTATTTTCTCGCTATCTGCCTATTTATTGGCTGCTGGGTTCTACACTTCCACACAAGTCGGATGAGAACGATGGTATGGTGGAGTTCAATAGCTGCGCAGGTGGACTTCCCGCTCAACAATTTGGTGACCACTATGGAATGCGGTTTTACAAGACGGAGCTCAACCACGCCGACACTACGTTTTACTTCGGTGACGGGCTTTTTAACACTGCGCAAATGCCCGTCAAGTGGTTTGAGTGCTTGTTGTAGTGTAGAGCTGAAGCACGCACCTAGAGTTCATGAAACGGTAAACGCCGCACGCATCTCTTTGATTTTGTCAAAGACACCTGTGACTTCACCGCTTGACTTTCGCGTTGAACCCTTCTTCTCGTCGTTTTACAAATTGTGGGCGACGACGCTTTATCTGATGGTAGTCAAACGACCTAGCTCTCTTTGACCCGCAGCAACGTGGTAGATGTGGAGTACAGCAAGCGTAATGACTTTGTGATGGACGTCCTCCCTGCCATTGTCTGAGGCGTCTTACCATAGGTGAAGGTGCGGGACAGTTCTACACTCTGCACATCGGTTGCTGACGGATGCGCCCTACCATCATACAAAGCAGCAACAACAAGTCCATCATCAGTCTATGGACCTTGGCGTAAGGTGCAGCTTACAAGCAACCCTTTTGCTCGCTCCACGAATTCAAACACATACCGAAGCAGGCAATACTAATCAAAGATTCTACTAAGGACTTGCAGAAGTTGTATCGTTGTCGCCCCACGCTTTCTGACTTAGATGCAGACATAGCCGCCAATACCATTGACTCGTTTGTTCTTGTGGATTGCTCTGACAAGAAGCGCTTGCAACGTGTGACTTTGGAGCATTGCATCTCATGAGTGAATGTTATGTATTTCGTGTAGCATTACTAGCCTCAGGGGGCGTTCGATGCGCACAAATGTGGAACTGCTTGTGTGTTTGCGAGATGAGGTACCTTAATGCAGCAGTGTGTGTGTCTGGACCCTTAGGGTAAAGGGTAGATATGAAAGATGAACAACCATCAAGACCCGTACACCAAGTGGAGACGAACACTCATTACTTTATCGTCCAGCTCTTGGCAAGTCTATCAGGCTACTAAGCAAACTCGATACAAGAGTATACACGGATAGTGCGAGTTATTGAACGTCCGTCTCGGTGGCACAAAGGAACCCGTGACGTAAAGTAGAATGAAAGTGCCGACATATCCTCAGTATTTCAGCATTCCAAGCTTTTCTTTATCATGGAAGTCTAGCAAGAAGATGACGCCGCGTCAGAGCAACAGCATTCAACAATCTCAGTGGCTCATGTTCTGTTCTTCTTGTCTTTTATCGTTTTCGTGCACTTTCTCCCTACGCATCGAGTACCACTGCTAGATCGCACTTGGTAGCTGCTGGATACGGCAGTTTTTGACCATGGACGGGTATCTGTGTTTCACTAACTTCAAGGCTGCTGTTCAAAGGCAGTTCTAAAAGACGTTACGAGTTTATTTCAAGCGCATGTAATACGAGTTGTAAAAAACGAATTCGACAGAATGCATGCACCGACTACGTGCCAAACGTGTTTGTCTATGCATTCTCCAGCATTAACTCTTTCTTTTGCTGCTGTCCAGCATCTACGAGAGTGCTCTTGTAGTCTGAGATGACGGACGCCAGCATCATTTCTACCGTTACCGTGTCCGACTTCTTCCTCTTAGCACCATCACTGTGCGCGTTGAGCTTGTCCAAAATCTTATGATTAAGCTCTGTTTTGGACTTGCCCAATTTGTAGATGTCGTGGTCGACAGTATCTTCAGACACGAGCTTATAGATTGACACAGGCTTGGTCTGACCGATTCGGTGACAACGGTCACATGCTTGCTCATCGGCAGTCGGGTTAAAGTCCAGGTCGTGCAAAATAACAGTATCCGCAGCAGTGAGGTTGATACCAAGCCCACCTGCACGCGTAGACAACAAGAAGACAAAGATACTTTTGTCTTCGTTGTACGTATCGATGAGCCCCTGTCTTTCCTGGACATCAGTAGACCCATCGAGCCGCAGATAACGATAACTCATATGGCCCATGAGTACTTCCAGCAAATCCAACAGCTTGGTCCATTGGGAAAAGATGAGGACGCGATGACCCTCCTTCTGAAGTTTTGGAAGTAATTTGCGCAAAAAGCTGAATTTGGCAGACGCCAGCAGTGTCTCCATTGGCAATTGCAGCTTTCGTAGCTCATCGATCGACTCGTACTGCACACAAAGGTCATGCAGTTCAAAGTCACTGTACGACTCGAGCTCCTGGCGAACTCTACTCATGGAACATTGGTTGCCAAACGCCTCAGCTTTGTGCAAGCACCTGCACATAGTCTCCAGTACTTCGTCAGAAACAAAGTATCTGCGCAGCAAAACGGGGTGATTGGCAGCCTTACGCAACTGCGTGAAGATGGAAATGGCGCTTGGCTCAGTGCCCGGCGGCGTGGCATACGTATCCATCAATTCTCGGACATGACGATTGATTTTGCAGTCCTTGCTTTTGTTCCTCTTGCTTTCCTTGGCCGCAGCTTTTATAGCAGCTTGTGCTTCTCTCCGCTGAATGACAGACTCAAGCAAGCCAGTGTATGCGTTCCGTTGGTCCTCGCCCAACTTGACAAGCTCAACAGAGATAGTCTTTGGTACTAGCTGACTCAGTACGTATTTCTTTTCTCGCCGAAGGATAAATGGTGCCAAGATTTTACGCACTTTATCGCACTTCTTCTCTTCGCTTCCGTCAAAAAAGCTCAGCAATTCGTCAGAGCCATGGTCGAACATTCGTGGCATAAGAAAGCTCAACATCGTCAGTAGCTCATTCAGCTTGTTTTGAATCGGAGTGCCGCTGAGGACTAGTCGCGTCCGTGCACGCAGTGCTGTGATGCGCTTGAACCGCGAAGTGTTTGAATTTTTGATACTGTGGCCCTCATCCAGAATCATGTATCCAAATTGGAAGCTTCTTAAGAAAGCACGCTCTTCTTGGCAAGTATCGCGCTCAAAGTAAGCGTACGTCGTGAGCATGACGTCGAATCCATCGCTGTTGAGCGTGGCCTCGAGATCACGACGGTGGTCCTTCGATCCATGATACGTGACGATACGTAGCTTGGGCGCAATCCACGAAAACTCACGTGTCCAGTTGTTCAGCACACTTGCAGGCACAACGACCAGGTGGGGCCCAATCGCTCGGTTATCTGACTGCTCCAGCGATTTGAGAAGCAGCAAAAACGCAATCGTTTGCACGGTTTTGCCGAGTCCCATTTCATCTGCTAGAACGCCGGAAACCTTGTTTTCGTGAAGCAGCAACAGCCAATTGACGCCAACTACTTGGTACGGCTTCAACTCGAGCGTTTCACAAATATCTGGAATGTCCGCTTGTGTGACTACACGTCGATCCCCGCCGTCGATTGATGCCAGCGACATGTGTACTGCCTCCTCTTCATCCGTAGCATCCGCAGGCGAAGTCGAAGGGCTTGACGACATCGACTTTGTCGTGTTGCCTGACCAGTTTCGTACTGACTGGCGCAATTCTCTGGCAATTTCTTCGCACTCTTCCAGCAGTTGACCGACTTCATCGTGGGATCGAGAGTAATGCTCGTCTTCATCTAAGTCGTCGTCATCATTCCTTACTTCAAGCGAAAACCTCCTCGATGCGCTAGACTTTGCTTTCTTCATGATCTTACTTCCATCTCTGCGACCATGCCACTTGTCTGAGCGGATACTATCCCTCTCCACCTTGTGCTTTTTCGTAGCCGAGTTGCGTCCAAACGCCGCCATCCAGTCCTTAGCTGCTGACGTCGAGCTCTCCAGCTCTTTCTCAAAGACGTCGTCGTCTTCTTGAAGCAGCGACACGTCCGAGTCGACCGTCAATTCCCCCATCCCTTTCGACCCAACCCCATCATTCATCTCGTCATCATCCGACTCGACAATTGCTCGAGTGCGTTTCTCCCTTCGTCTCCCTGTTGGAGCCAGTTCCTCCTCATCTTCCTCGTCCACATCTTCCGCTGTACTGGACATTGTCACATCTTCAACATCTGCACCTCTCGTCACGGTCTTCTCCTTAGCCATCAAGTGAGCAGCACTGCTGTTGCTGTTTCTAGCAAAAAACGAAGACACGAGTCTCTTGCCTGAGGCAGCTGCTGAGCCTCCACCTGTCATAGTCGTCGAGCGTTTCGGTCGATTCGAGACCGACGAGCTCATTGTAATGCTCGGGACACGCGTGGGCAGCACGTGCAGCGCAGCTCTTGGCGGCGCTGCGTCCGTGTCCACCACTTCGTACTTGGTCAGCGTCCCATTGGCGTAAAAAGCGTCCCGTAGACCCAAGAGCAGCACGTCGCCCTGGCGCAAGATGCTCTGCTTGGTCTGGCGCGTGACCACGATGCTCGTCTTGCCGCAGCACCGCAGCGCCACCTTGGGGCCGCTCTGGTACACGGCGCCCTTGCCGCCACACACGCGCTGCTCGGTGCCGTTGCTGGCTAGACGGTACAGCTTGCCGCTTACACTCTCCTTCACGCCCAGCGCCATTGGATCGGAGCAACGATTGCTAAGAACTGACTGACTGGACCTGCAGGCGCGAATAGCTGGATAAAAGAGTGGATCAGTAGTCGAGGCTGAATAAATATCGACATATTTGATATCCTGCTGCTACGACTACTTCCGTGACATTTCGGTGCAGATTGTGGTCGAAATGTACAGGATAAGCTAAACGAGAGTGCAGGAGGTGTAGGAGCTCTTTGAACAGTCCGTTGATATTAAATAAGGTTTTGCCTCGCATCAAGAGCCGAGACGCGGAAGGGGTGAACGAACGTGCGTCAAGAAGCTTTCTAATCGCAACCCGTACGCACAGCTACATCCGCAACGCTGTTCCCCATCAGTGTCTTCGCCCTCCGCGTACTATCGCAGACATCAGTTCCATTGCTGTGTCAGGATACGACAGTTGCAGTAGTAGGGCGACCAGGAGACAGCAGCGGCATCGATCTTTTGCAAGCGTCGCTGACATTTCAGGCCGAAATCGGCTTGGGGGCTTCCGATATCCGTACCATGTCAGACGGTAGCAGCATCTTCGACGCGCGCACGTACACCATCTCAGCGTGAGCGCGGTGGCGCGGACGGGGCGTGCACGCTGGAGCCTCCTCCTCTTCCGCAGCGACAGTCGGACTCCACATATTTTCTGCAGCCATGCCGTCCTTGCGCAGAAAATGGAGCACTCGGCGGTTACGCGCGTACTTGTGCGAGCGTCTTCGGTCGACGATCTCTAATATGCGGGCCGTCTCTTCCTCTGTGTCTTCGCATTCACTCAAGTCCTCGGACAACGAACCCGAAGCGCTCTCCTCTGTTGAGCCGTCACGCGAGATGACATCGGTCTCAGAGTCCAGTTCGACGTTCTCACCGACCTCCACCTCGTACTCCGCATCGTCCTCAATCACAGTCGTGAGCGATCCACACTGATTGACCGGCGTTCGCTCGGACGGGTTAAGCTCGATGGGCAAGATCGGCCGGTGGAACGTGTAGGCTCTGTGACTCGGATCATGTACGAGAGCACTGCCGAGGAAGCCACGCAGGATGGAGAGACCAATGGGACTAATGTCGCGACGGACGATGTAGTTGTGGCAAATGAGCAGCCGGTGGAGTCCCGCGAGGAACTCCAAGAAAGCATCGCATCGATGCTCCACGACCTTGTCCATGTGAAACCGAAAGTTGTGCTTCTTGGGGAAGTAGAGCTCGTCCACGAGTCCCGCGAGACGTGGAAAGTCGCCATGGAAGAGCTTAAAGTGCTCCTTGATGAGGCCGCGCAGCATGAGGAAGTCCGAGTAGCGTCGATGGACGACCCAACTGCGGCCCGTGATGGCGTTCTGCACGTGCACTGCAAAGATCGTCGTCTTCTTCCCCATCTTGTTGTCGGTCGAGACCACGGGCTTGACATGGTACACGGCAATGGAGCCGACATTGATCATCGAGCGCTCAATGGCCGTGCCGCCCATAGCCACCTGCAGCGTCTCGCAGCTGTGGTGTGGCGACCGCACGACGAGCTGCGGCACGTGCGGCGAGGCTGGCGACTCGGGCGTCGCCCGTACGCGGCGCAGAGCCGAGCCCGACGTTCTGTTGTTCGGCATGGCGCGGTCGGTCGGTCGGTCGGTCGTTTGCTGCGGCGGTCGAGAGAGTGCCACGGGTCGCCTGCTCACCACTCGAACTATTTGCAAATGAAGACCATCGAGCGATGGGGCTGGACGGGCAAACAAGGCGCTGGCTTGTGTGCCAGCGCCGAGACGACAGCAGCTGAGACATGTCGTTACTTCGTCAGCGCCTCTTCCACCCCCACATTCCGAGTTTGGGGGTAGGGGGACGACAATTATTTGGATTGGCTCATTACGCGACGAAAAAAGTGGTGATTGGCTACGGCGGCGTTTCCCACACTCTGAGTGCAACGTGGCGGCAAAGCCATGGAGTAAGAGGTTGCAATGGGGCGGAAAAATCCATACTTGGTACCAAGAGCTCTTCCACTTCACGGCACTGGAAATCAGACAAAAACGTCGAGTGCGAACTGCTGCACGGTGCGCGCGAAAGCTGTGGAAAGTCGATGGCGAAGCTCGCGTTTCTACCCCTGAGCCCGTCGTGTACAAACCTAAGTCAACACTAGGTAACGTTCGCGCGTCGTCGAGCACCATGTCGGTGGGTCCTTCCAATGTTACTTTGAAAGCGACACGTGCCTTGAGTGTATTGAGACCCTACGGGTCAGTGTAGCTCATGGTTGTCGAAAGAAGCAGTAGAATCTTTTCTCTCGCAATGACTGATTACTCGAACATTCAGTGTCGCAACAGGTTTGGATCTGTGTGCGCGAGAGAGACCTTCGAGATCGATCCCCGCTCCCGCATTTTGTCCACATTGTCTCGGCTACTGCGAAGTAGCCAAGCCCGTTTTTCGACGCAAATCAGCACCGAGTTCGCGGGCCGTCTGCGCAGGCTTCAAAGGACCACGAGTGCCAACAGCTTTGCTGGTACATGGCGCTGCGTCGCCCGTGATCATATCGCATTCCCAACCAGCCTGCTAATCTTTTTCTCTTTTCTCTCCACGCGGCACTACTGAGCAGGTACAAACAGCAGGCATTGCTCAGTGCCCAGCTGGTGTCTAATCCGCCTTGCTCTCAAACCATAGTGTCCGAGTCAGGAGAGCCACTCGTGCCGGAAAGAAAAGCTTTTCGAATATCGACCGCGTCCACCTTGTTGACTCCGGATCTTAGGACGGACAATTCTGTGGCTCGCAACCAAAGCCAAGAGCTCCGCGGTAGTTCACTCTACAAACGCACGAGCGTAATCACTCGTTGAGCACTGGTGATTAGCAACCTGGCGTGCATTCCCAGAACCGATCGTCACCAGCTCCGGTACTGACGATCGGTTTTGTGTCGTCACGTCGCCCGACTGATTCGTGAAACTAGCGAATGGCATACCTTATGCATTATCAAACGCCAACTCGACTGGCTCAGCTAATGAATCTGCAAGACACGGAGCTGCTGGCCAGCGACTGTCCACGCAGTTGCCTCGATGGGGTCCCCGTCGTGTTGGGCATTGATGAGGCTGGTCGCGGACCCGTGATGGGTCCGATGGTCTACGGCGCTGCGTATTGGCCCGTGCTCGAGAACGACGCCATGTGCGCCTTGGGCTTCGACGACTCGAAAGCGCTGAGCGCTGCGAACAGAGCGCTTCTGTTTGAGAAGATGCGATCTACTGAGGGACTCGGGTGGGCGTTTGTTTCGTACTGTGGGATGTGGTACTTGGCGCTGTCTTTGGTATTGAGCGTCATGACTGGGGGGCGGCAATGGCAGGTGGATCGTGCGCTTGATTTCGGCTGCCGAGATTTCGGACAAGATGCAGCGCCAGACGCGCAACTTGAACGAGATATCGCGCGACGCAGCTATTCAGCTGATCAAAGAGGTGCAAAAGAAAGGGGTACTGGTGAAGCAGGTGTTTGTGGATACGGTAGGCGACCCGCGCTGGTACCAAAGCTTTTTAACGAAAGAGTTTGGCGGGGCCATTGAGTTTCGCGTTGAAAAGAAGGCGGATAGTCTGTTTAAGGTGCAATGAGGCGGTTTGTGAGATGGGGGAGAAGAGCTAGTGAGAGGGCTTACTGGTGTTGTTCTTTCTCTGCAGGTTGTGAGTGCTGCGAGTATTGCAGCCAAAGTGACGCGCGACCGCGTCATTAGCGACTGGAAGTGGGAGTCATCAGCGCTCGACCTTCCGACGGACTTTGGTTCTGGTTATCCAAGTGATCCCAAGTACGTTGCATGTGTTTCAGTAGTCGATGTCGTTGGACTGGCGTTGAACGGTCATGTTTTGTGGCAGAACGAAGACATGGTTGGCGAATCATATGGACGAAGTATTCATGTTTCCAAGCATCATTCGCTTTAGCTGGGGCACTGTCGAACCGTTTTATGAGAAGGCTGTGAAGGTCGAGTGGCCGCACGAGAAAGAGCTTGAGAAGGTGAGGGACGAACTTGTTGATGGAAAAACTCGATGTTTACCTTCATTTGCCACACTAGGTCAATGCTCCTGCTGGGACTCAATCGATAACGTCGTTCCTCGCCACGACGCCAAAGGAGATCGGGTCTAAGATTACTGCCACGCGCGCCGCTTTTTTTACACAGCGAAATATGAACGACGTGAATGATTTTTAGGCACAGCCGATCAAGTCTGGGAAGAGTTTTCTACTTAAGCATATTACTCTGGAGGAATGAACGTGGAGATGTTTACCAGCGCGTCACAAAAGGGAACTTTTGTGTGTACTTGCGTCACCATTTATCGATTTTGCGTGTCGACAAAATTGACGCCGACACAGCTAACTCTAAAAACCGATAAGCTAACTTCCTATCCATGTGAACTAGCAGCTTCGTGTTGCGAGCCCCAATGGTCTCAATAAATCACGATCAATAACATTCAAATCTTTTGGTTGCGTGTATTTGTTGTCCAAATAATCGCACGCGACGTACGTGTCGCCTGCAGACCTTTATATTTAGTGCTCACATACTACGGTCTTTGGCTACGTTTTTAAATTCAATATCATTCAGCGTGAATCCTACAGCACAACCTTGATCCCAACAAAAAATCTGTTGTTACTGACTGACTGTGATAATGCGCTACGTCCGCTATCTTAGTGGGTACCAAATATGCGACTACCATTCGTCCCTGCTTTCGGTGCTTGAGTTGGCTGCTACTTTCCCGGCTGGATCATTTCCTTATGAACCGCTCGAGACTATCCAGCGTCGATTACGTTTAGCTTACGCACAAAAGACCAATACGATTCTCACAAGGGGTACATGTGGTTAAGATAGATCATCTAAAGACATGCGTTGAGCTTAATTACGGGACTACGTTTACTCGGCTTATCCGGTGGAAACGAAAGGTTCAACTGGAGAGGTCGTCTGTAACGGGGCACCCTGAAGCTTGTACTGGTGACAGTACAAGCTACTTATTCTGATAACAGAATAAGGCGGTGCCTCGTAACTTCACGTACACTCGTACGTGCAGAGGAAGACGGTAAGAAGAAGCGAGTACTTGGTTAGAGTAAAAAGTAGAACTGTATTTATAATAGTTAATGTCTGCAATAAATCACTATTTATCTTCATCTAACTATGTCTAAATACAAATGTGTAAATCAGTTATCTGCTCACCACTCATTGCGTGCGTCTGTCGTGGCAGCGTCTTCGTTGGTTGATATAATGGCCTATATCAACCAATTAGGAACTACTTGGAAGTGCTACAGAATATTGTCCTTATGACAATATTCTGAGAATATAACTCTTATAGTTATATTCTATTAACAATTTCTTATAAATTGTTATGTAACGATTCACCCCGTTACATCACCCCCCTTAACCATCAGTCACTTTAGTGACTGATTGACTAAGTCGGATACTCGTCCCAAATCATTTGGGACGGGGTTTGCACTTGTTGGTCCGCGTCCACTTTCCAACATCTCATCGCATGGTAAACAAGCCCATGCGATGCGCGAGCAAGGCCGCCGAGAGCGCGTCTGCACGTCTCTGTGCGGACGCCGAAGCAGAAACTACAGCAACTGATATCCCATCGGTTGCTGAATCGACTCAGCCTGTATCACCTGGTGATGCAGGCGCTGGTCATGAAGACACTCGTGTCTTCACAGAGTACGAGCTCGGTGTCTCGTACTCTCCTGATACGGATGACGGATCCGTATCGACGGCAATTGAATCCAAGCCGCCTGCCAAGCGTGGCATGGACGATGCTTTGCGTCGCAGCATCTTTGGTTCATCTGATGAGTCAGATGAACCATCGCCGAAGCGAAGGCGCTCGAGGTCGCGAGACTCGGGCGCTAATAGTGGTGTCGTTTCTCCAATGGACACCACTTCACAGCGAGGTGCCAGTACTTCTGTCGGCACGTCGCAGGAAGAGCGGGACCGCAATGTGTTGCGTCTCGCTCCAGAAAAGAAGGCATGGATGCCTCCTAAATCTGTCATGGATCACTTGTCGGCGACGACGAGTGATCGTTATCGAACACGATTGTTCGATTCGTCAAGGATTCATCACCTTGACCCCAGCGCGAAAGACTATCGCGCTGAACATGAGTTCTTCATCGATGCTTTCTTCAGACATCGATGGTACAGTGGGAATCACAAACGTGATGGTCCCTCACTACTTCAGGCGTGGAACGCCTACATCCATAATCTCGAGGATGTAGGTCGTGACGCTTGGAACGACAAACTTATCAAAGCTCGTGATAAGTTTGAAAAGCGAACCCCGACAGGTGCACGCTACAAGCTGCATCGTCTGTCAAGGGAGAAAGGATTACCCTGCCTCTCTTGGGGAGACTCGTGCCCATGTTGTGTGAACAACTCTGCACGAGCACCTAAGGAGGCTTACCTCCTTACCAGCCCGTGGTGGCGCGTACGTGTCTCTACTGAGATGTACGAAGGGATTGACAACCTGAAATCCCTTTACGACCGTGCCGGGAAGACTTTCTCCGGCGGTCCTTCTGCGGCACAGGATGTGTCGCGTCGTACTGCTCGACCAGACCCAGTACGTCAACCATCAATTGGGAGCGGGGCTCCCAAGAATCCCAGGACGGGGGATAGCCGCGCCACCGGACGAGGTAACTCGTCCGACGTCCGTTCACGTCGCGGTGGTTCAACAGCTGCTCTACTAGATAGCGCTGGCCACCGCGAGAGTCCTCTAATGGAGGTGGAGGAGGAGGAAAGACGCTCTCCACACGATCATGTGGATCGGTGTGTTCCCGAGAGCTTTTTGATCGCGTAACGCAAGGGTTACGCGACGATCTCGAGCATGAGCGGAATAGGCGTCTCCAGATGGTGGACACTGCCTCGAAGCATCGAGCTGAGTTTGCCTTTGCTCAGCTTGAGAACGAGAGATCTCTGACATCTCTTCGTGACGAGCTAAGGGTAGCTCGTGGGATTGTTGATCGGTCTCGGGCTGAGATAACTGCTCTTCAGACCCTTGTTGATGCCCACCATCGGGAGCACAAGGCTCTCTGCGAGATGCTTGAGCGCAAGGGCGTTCTTCATCGGAAGAAGCAGCGTACTGATGGTACGGCTTAAGCCGACCAACGTAAAACGTGGGATGCGTTCGCATCTTACGTGGTAACTCGATCGTGTATGCATTGCCTAGGCGGTGCAATACACGAAATGGGCCAATGTACTTGGGTAGTAGTTTACTGCTACCCAAGTTAGTCACTACATGTTTTGGTAGATTAACCGTAGACAGTAGGACTAAGTCACCTTTATTAAATAAAAGAGTGTTTGCCCTTCCATTCTTGTCAGCGTTTTGCTTTTGCTTATCCACCGCTTCGGCGATGGAGTCTTGCACAAAACGGACTACCGTTTCACGAGCCAGTATGAACTCATCTGATGACTCGTTAGCTTCAGTGTGCTGTGAGCGCACTGCAGCGACAACAACCTTTTCTTCAGTGAGGGCTTCCCGCACTCTCACTGGGATCATTGTCTTCAGTGAGGGCTTCCCGCACTCTCACTGGCATCATCTTCTTCGATATCGATGTTATCGATATCGGCATCAAACGCAATGACTTCTTCGTCAGAGCGTGATGAGCGTGAACCAAATCGGTTTTTGCTCGCGCGAGTCCCTCCCCCCTTAAACCAGAGTTACACTCTAGTAAGGTGGGTACACGCGGATGGCGCAAGCCATTCACGTAAAACGGTGTATGTGTCGTGGACGCATGCACCGAGTTGTTGATGGCAAACTCTACCATCGGCAAAAAACTCACTCCAACTCTTAAAGGAGTGTACGTATCCTCGAAGTATCTCTTCAAGGACACGATTGGCACGTTCCGTCTGACCATCTGACTCTGGATGATCAGATGTTGACATCTTCAAGCGCGTTCCGAGTGATTTGAACACGGAACGCCAGAAATCAGCAGTGAATCGTGGATCTCTGTCTGATACGAGTTCACGGGGCAACCCATGAAGTCGGAAGATGGTGTCAATAAAGACACAAGCACAGCCACTTGCCGTGATTGTCTCTGGTACAGCCACAAGGTGTACCATTTTGCTGAATCTGTCAACAAATACGAGAATACCCGTATTCCCGCGTGCGTCTTTGGGTAACCCGAAGACGAAATCCATTGAGATGGATTCCCAGCACTCAGCCGGAACCGGTAGAGGCTGTAAAGGTGCACGCAGTGAAGGACTTGACTTCACTCGTTGGCAGACTTCGCATGCGCGAACATACTTTCGCACAAACTGATACTGGCGGGGCCAGTAAAAGTCTCGACTTACCGTGAGATATGTTTTCTCTCGGCCACGATGTCCTCCTATAGGAGCATCGTGATACTTCGAACATGATCCGCAAACGCAGATCAGTATCATCTGGAATGACAACACGTGGTGTGTCACCAGAAACGGCTGTATAGTACAGTAAACCGTTACGAGTAGTGTATCGATCTGATGCAGATCGATACGCAGACGACAATCGTTTCAACGATTCTCGAGATGGTTGGGAGAGATGTGACAACAACTTCACTATCTCACCATCTTGGGCGTATGCCCGCCTCACATCATCATACAACGTTGTAGATGGAACTGAGGACGTCATAACCGCAACAGTGACTGTCTCACTGTTGGGTTTCGCGACTGTTTCAAAGTCGGGACGACGTGAGAGTGCATCAGCGACGACATTAAGTCGTCCTGGTTTGTACTCGACCGTAAAGTTGTATTCTGCAAAGAATGACAACCACCGCGCCATTCGTTGTGAAAGGTGCGGGCTGTTCACTGCCGTGCGTAAGGACGCATGGTCAGTGTAAACAACGAAGGGTCTATCTCCTAATAGATAGACTCTGAACTTCGCGAGTGCATACTTCATGGCAAGGAGTTCCTTGTCATGCACTGGATAGTTCCGCTCAGCTGGTTGCAGCTGACGCGACTGATAGCAGACGACGCGTTCAACGCCTTCAAGGTCGTACTGCATTAATGCACAGCCGATTGCGAAATCGCTGGCATCACAGACCACATGAAATGGCCTGTCCTGATCGGCTATTGCTAGGACTGGGGATTGTATCAAGCTCTGCTTGATACCCTCAAAGGAGCGTTGACATTCAGCGTTCCATAACCACCTCTCGTTCTTTTCAACAAACGAGAGAGGTGTACAGTCATCTCGGCGTAATTGCGTGAATACT